CCTCCTCCTCCTCTCTCTCTCTCTCTCTCTCTCTCTCTCTCTCTCTCTCTCTCTCTCTCGATGGCATATCTCATCGTATTTATAAACCCGCCTGGCTGACCCATTTTTCAAGAGTAACGCACAAGTCGAACCAAGTTGTTCGCCTGCTTCTACACGGTAATGAATGAGAAGCTATCTTGTTATCCCGCAGAAAGTGACCCCCGTATTGCGCGCGAACGTACATTATTCTTCCACGCAAGTCAATAATTAAAATACAATCGCTCTAATAAACCTAATAATACATTGCAGCGAAAGAGAATCTAATTTTTTCCATACGCTCCATTCGCATTCCGATATCCGTACGTTGCATTGACGTTTGCGTTCCTGCCCCTATCTCGTATAAATAGCAGTCGAAAAATGATAACTATAGGCATACGATTAAGGAGAAGTCTAAATGCGTATGCTTACGCACGAGAGTGAATCATCTCGCGTGGAGATTCTTTTCGTCAAAAACTGCCAAAATCCGCGCGGGCTAATTTGAAATCTCGATCCCTATTCCCGCGCACGCAGCCCGATCGCTCCACGTACGACACCCGCTACATCGCGGAATTGGCAGCGTACGCAGGAAAACGGTGGACACCTGTGCGGTGTGCCACGTAAGAGTGCCACATAATTATCAGCCGGCATCGAGGGGCGCGCCACGCGCGCTCGCACCCGCCAGCAGCCGCATGATGAAATTTTGTGAATAATATTATGTTATTTGCGAAAAAGAGAGAGAGCGCACGCTCGTGCATGGTCCTTGGTCGTAGAAAAAAAATCGACCCACGTGTCAACAATAACAATAAATAAATGTTTCTAAGACGGCAGAGATAAAAATACCAAAAAGAATATATTGCAATCAAAATAACAGTGATCGGACAAAAATATTACAGGACCAGTACGAATGACTTTTGGTAACAAAAAAAAATATATATATTCTCCTCTACAGATTTTTATCGTCGACTTCCTTTTTACTTCCTTTTCTGATGCGAAATGTTTCAAATGATTGTTGATAACAAAAAAAAATATATATATATATATTCTCCTTCGCGGATTTTACCGTCGACTTCCTTTTTACTTCCTTTTCTGAAAATGTTTTCTTTTTCGGATGGCATTTGACTCTTTTCGCAGGCACGCGATTGGCAAACGGCGCGACGCCAATTCGATCGGAAAAGACTTCGGAGGGGACGAAAAAGCTTCGGTACGTGGAATTTGCACTTGGAGCATAGCCACGCGGCGAAATAAAGTGCTAGAATTAATAATCTCCTTCCTTTTCTTCCGTCGCACCTGGCGAGACGGCGGGTCAGGTGAACGAGGCATCAATCAGAGAGAAAAGTGTTTATTGGCGCGTCGTCTTGCATGCTTCGTTCATGCCGTCTGTCGTTTCTCTTCAGTGAATTAATTTATTTAATCTAATTTGGCGCGGTATTTCACAGTGCTATTAAAACATACGTTAACATTCTTTTTTCCATTTCTTTATAGATATTCAAGAATGAACACGGTGCCGCGTTGAATATCAATTTTTTACATGAGGTTCGCATCTTTCACCTCTGTCCATTATTTCGGACTCGCTTGCTCTCTTTCGCTTCTTTGGCAGGTAAACTCGCTCTCCCCCTCGAGATTTTCGAAAACAAGTCTACACGTAAATGAGCGAAATGCAAATAAATCGAGTGGGTAGACGGCACTCGAAGATGATGGCCGCGCGAATTCGTTCCGGCTCTGTTCGCGAATCTCGCGTACGACAATTAGAGCCAAAGGCATTTTTTTCAGTGGCGCAGATGCGATCGGATGCCATTTACCATGTCCTGTGCAAATTCATTGAGACAATTATCGCAGGAAGAATGGATAAGAGATTAAAATCGCGACAACAAATCGAATATCAAAACGAATTTTTTCTTTCACGCAAAATTGTTCGTCAAATCGAACATATTTTAGCTGTACCTAATACAAGCACGCACGGTAATTTTTCGATTTATCATAATAGTAAAGATTTATCATAATAAAAATAACTAAAGGAAGGCAAATGTTACGTTAAATGTTATGCAAAAAGGTAAGCTTTCGTTTAATCAAACATTCGTAAAAGAGAGCAGCACCTTGAGTTGATCCAAGAAATCGCGCCACAACTGGAATACGATACACATTTCGATAAGAAAATAAAATCACATACATATACTGAATAAAGATAGACGAAGATTCTTTCTATCGGAAAGTCGAAAGTTGCAGGACGGCGACGAGGATGTTTTAAGAGGGGAACGAGAGCGCCGTTCGCCTCGTCGGGACGAGCGAAAAAGGAAAAGCGGAATTCCAGGCTGCCGAGAAGATATTTGTGTCATGAAATACCCGAGAGACACGCGTACACATAGATCGCGGCTGTTTTCGTCTGGGCCTTCGTGTAGAAACGGAGGAAAAGCGGCGAATTCCACCCGGTATTTCCACCGCCTCCGCGTCCTTCGTTTTGTTTTATTCCGCGCGAAATTATTCTCAGGCGTCGCGCGGAAATCCGCCGAAATCCTGGACGTCCCGCGACAAACGGCGACTGTCCAGCAGCGAGGACTGTTAAGTATTTCGCGCGGGTGTCGCGGAAAACAGTCTTTCGATTCTGCGTCCACAATCATGTTTTCTGCGAATGAAAAGTAGGACGATATAATTTCCTCATGAATTCGACATATAGCGATAATTGTGCTAGTTATCAAGTAATCGCAAATTGCACGGTGAATATCATGGCACATGTCTTCGAAACGCTGTCCGACATATAACACCTGTTGCTCGCGACGGTGTCCGCGGGAGTTAATTGCACGTAATAACGTCTAATTAGCAGCGACGTGCGAATGCAATGAACCGTGCGTGGCAATTAGAGCAGCGATGTTCACGAATCTATTCCAACGACCAAACGAGTTCTCGAATATTTTTGTAAATATATCGGATGTGGACTTTATTGAATGAAATAATATTATTTTTTACATGTACATTATTATTATTACATATTCGTAAACATTGTCAAAGGAACAGGCCGTATACGCAATCGGCGTAGTTCAACGTCAACGTCGCGACGCTCCTTCGACGTCTCGTGGAAATCCAATGCGCGACGTCGGAGATCCGATCCGCGTCGGAAAGTTTAACGTACGTCGGGGGAGGGGGGGGGGGGGCGTCAAGTCGGTCGGCCACCAGACGAAAATAAGGAACCAAGAATAATAATTGACGGGGGACGCGCACCGTTAACGTTAAGCAGAGCCGTACGATAAGTCGCTCTGCCGTGCACGCGGCAAAAATAAACGCCAACTACACTGAAAATAATATCACACTTTTTCCCCACCCGCGAGAGAATTCGCAAAACACGGCCGTCGCCGTCGCCGTCTGCAGCGTACAAGGTGTTTGCATCAGAGAGTCGGACCGGCCTCTTTAACCGGTGGAATTTAAATCGATTAAACGCAGTCAAGTCCCACGCAATTGACTTCACTTAATTAAATCGAACAATATTTTTAAGAGAATATTGTATGAAAAATAATTTAATATATTAAAACACAACGCAATATTTTCAATGTATCAGTTAACAAGGTGCTGAATTATCTCACAGGCTCGCTCTCGTAATTCCTCCTCGAAGCCGACATCAATTCTCGGAACGAAAGCTCTCCCTCTCAAACAACGTAAACATCTTCGGTCTTTAAATTCGAATTCCGTGCAATTACATTCCGACGGGAACTTTCACCAGACGCGGTTTTCGCGCGCGCATCTTGATGAACCATTTAAGTGAAATTACCGCGGGTAAGAGTTTGGCGATCAGTTTACCAGTGATTACGCAATTTACCATCGTCGCTCATTCCGCGGGGAGAACCGTAAACATTTTTCCTCTCCGTCAGACGGAGGTAGTCACGGGATATCACCGCGTATCGTAATGACGCGATTACATCGGAATTTGATAACATGCGTTGAATTAATTTGAATTGTGTGAATGTTAAAAAAAAAACGCAATAAAGGTGACGATTAGGATATTGACAATTGTATCCTTCTCTATCATTTTTATATTACTAATACAAGCAATATTAGAATATTATTAAGATGTCTGTAATACATTGATAAGATTGAAAACAGCGGTATCAAATGCAGACGCTCGAAATCTATCAGCGAGTTCCTGCTCGGCGGAATTTGTGCCAACGGTCGTCGCGCGAGAGGCACCTAAAATACAAATCTACTAAATTTTATGAATGATATTTAATCTCGCAGCCGCGTTCGCTCGACGGCGTGTCGATCAGCGAGTTCCCAGGACGTCTCAATCGCAGGAAACGAGCACCTGCCCCGACGGTTGGACCAATCGTCGCTAGTATGTACTCCGACTTTAAATAAACCGACGCAGCGAGAGGCGTAACACGCTCCACCGCGAGCATGTTATGACAGGCACGCGATACATTTGTTTTATGGCGGGGCGTTAAATTGATGCAGTGGCAGAGACCGACCGCGATCCGTTGGTATGTACAAATGATACTCGCTTCATACTCTCCTTCCTGCCTCCTTCAAAACTGAATGGAACCCTCACGCAGAGAAAGGATTAGCCAATACAGCTAAAATATAGCCGTGGCAGCTAATGTGTGTCTTTAAAATAGGCTAATATCGTTACTGCCAAAGCTAAATTTATTAGTTGTTAAAATTTAGGCGATACAGCTAAGAATATTTGCTGCTAGAATCAAATGACATTTAGCTAATTTTACTGAGGAATATCCAGCAAAACTTTTAAATTTTTCAGCAAAATCATTCCGTATGCCACTTTCTTAGCTATTTTTGTTCAAGTATGCTTTTATTTTAGCTAATAAAATTGTATCGCGCAACAAATATATTTTATCTTTAATAACTAACTTTTAGCAATGACAGCAAACTACTGATATTTAGCTGATAACGCTAAGTTATTTTTTTTGCGTGCTTTTGCATCCACATTACTGAGGTTCCCAAATTAAAAACTCTCGCGAGTTTAAACGATTTTAAACACGAGGAGTTGTACTTATCTTGCGGTTAAAAAGATCACATTTATCGTATTCGTCTTCTGACAATGAGTGAAGTAATTACTAATTATACAATCGATTTGATAATTCGATTCGCATATGACGGCGGAAATATCGCCTGTGAAAGATACGAGGAGTTCGCGATACACAACTCCTGTTAATTCGATCGCATTAAAAAAAGCTTGTTTACGCTCGCCTCGTAACAGGTTTAAAGCATGATGTCGCGCGTTTTTACGCGGCGCGCACATAATTCTTGCCCACGCGCGCGCGGGCACTAGCGCTGCGCGAACAGCCGCCTCGCAACAGATTATCTCCATGCAACATTATCATAAATCTTGCGCAACGATCGAAACCGGTATGACGCGGGCGAAACATTTTTTCTACGATCCGTCGCCGTGCGGCTAAAGATAATATTATCGTTCCGCGTCGCGTTACGCTCTCAAAAACAGGATGAGCATACATTACGAGACAAACGTGTGAAATATGAATATACATCGATTCGGATCAAGAGAAATTGACCGTCAACTATGAACGTGAAATTCCTGCCATATATTTTCTAAAATTTACCGATTATACATACCTATCTCAGAAAAATAAACGAAATGATTTCGTGTGTAATATAGATGTTGAAGAAAGAGAAAATGCAATGTATAAAGGCTGAAGCAAATTATATCTGTTTCCCTTTTTCTTTCATATCTAAATGTATAGAAGTCCATATTTCACAATCAATAGTGTGTAACCTTCACAGTTAATAGTTAACACGCTGTCACGGTGATCATCTCTGATCGGTACCAGACTTTTCACAGGAATCGCAGGCATTGTCGAGACTTTTTAAGATGTTTCTAAAAGCTAAATGCTATTAACGCGTCTAACAATTCTAACGTGAAATTTTGAATGACGCAACAATGTAAAGTAAAAGATACGTTAGTCAGCGCACTATCCACGGAGCTGTAATCCACTTTAACGATCATATATCACACAATTTAATCATATATGCCTGCGATAATGAAAGTTCTACAATGGGGCGTATAATGAGGCGATGAGACATGCAAGACACGCCGACAATAATGTTAGACAAAAAGCACGGGGGGAGCGCGGTCGAAGGGAACGGGCCCGGACACGCGACTGATTGTAAAACGACCGGGTATCCCCGAGTATCATCCACGGAGCCTCCGCGCGGAAGCGCATTGTTGTCGCGGCGCGTATCCATCCGGTATACATTCCGTCGCAGGTGTATTTTCGTGCCGCGTGGAGTGCCCGCCGCCGCGCCGTTGCTGCGCGTAAAAGTCAAAGTGTGGGCGCTCCGTTCCCTTTCCCCTTGCTCCTCCTCGATCGCGGAGGAAGCGACGACGAGACGCCACCGTCGCCGTCGTCGTCGTCGTCGTCGTCGTCGACGTGGACGACGACGATGACGGCGGTGGCGACGACGTCGGCGATCGCCCTGGAGCGCCGCTTTTAGAACTCGACTTCAGTCGGACGAGCAGACGAACTCACCGGACGGCAACCATCGGAGACGTCCGACGAACGGGCCACGACGTTGTTGTGTGCACTTCCTCCTCCTCCTCCTCCTCCTCCTCCTCCTCTTCTTCCTCTTCACGAACACCTACACCTCGTCCGTATCAGAGGCAGAAAGGGACCAGCACTGCAACGGTCGCTCGCCAACAAGATCCCGCGTGCCCGCGCGTCTCGTGGAGACTCTCTTTATTGCCCCTCGCGGAGATTTCACCTGTCACCGATCGCGCGATCGCGGTACACGCGGCCGATCCGCACTGACGGTCTCTCGCGCGTTCCAGTCTCTCACTCACGTTTTCTTTTCTATCTGTAATTACCTCTTTTACGTTTTCTTTCCGCACTGAGTTCGCGTTTTCTCTCTCTCGAGAGAGAGACGACGAGCCAAGCAGCTGCCGTCCGTCGGAGCCACCGATCAGCTGTGCACTGCGTACCGACCACCGCGCTGCTCGGCCGCGGCTTTCGTCCCAGCGGCGTCGCGTCGCGGACGACGGCGAACGTGACGTTCTCGCGCGTGATTTAATACTCCGCCAATTTCTCGGGAGCGAGACGATCGCGAGCGTCGACGGCCGCGCGAAACGACGGAAACTCGCGCGATCGCGTAGTCAAGATGGCCGTCGCGCCGGATAAAGTGGCCGTCGTCCCTATTTATGAATGGGAGTCGCGTCACGATAGCTCGCCGTCCGTTATGAGGAACGAGAGGGGGGAGATATGCGGCGATCGGTGGAAGAGAGGAACGCGCGACGTCTGTCCCGTCCGCGCGCTATTTTCGATCGCGTGCATACGAGACCGGACACCGACGCGCGGGCATCGCGACGGATACGGGCCTCCTCTTCTCGCCGTGTATCTGGTTCCGCCTGGCGCTCCTTCCTGCCGCGACTGTCACGCGGAAATTACCCACCGATAATCGAGAGATTGACTATCCATCCGGAGAGATAAGCCGGCAAAACTAGATCGACAAGAACGAAAAATAAATATGCAAAAATATTCCGCGTTGAAGAGATGTTTGTCTCTCGTAATTCGCCTCTTCACGACAAGAGGTATACTTATTTGCGAAACATGAAAAAATTACCTCGTGTCGAAGAGATGTTTTTCAGACTCTCGTCGCAAAGCTAAACTCACCTCACGTCTCATTCCGCAGCGATTTGTTTCATCATCTTTTAGGACAATTTAGGGGACGCTTACCGGAGATGATCACTCTTAAATAAAACGTACGCTTGATTACCCGCCCTTTTATCATCCACACAGAGATATCAAAAAATGTCAATATCATACATATATTTAACAGAAAAATAGCGCCCAGATATCATATATAAAATTATAATATTTTATATTATATTAGAAGACTTAAGTCTACATACGCCGCACATCTGCGCTATGATAAATGACGGAGTGCACCAGGCAATTATTGTAAACACTGGTATATTGACTTCTACGGATATATAAACCAAAATTAATAATACAATAGTAATAATTATAATAATAGAATTACTAATGCGGAATAGACAGTTTCTTACGAGTTGCACTGCTGCTCGGTTTTCTGTACTCTGGAACAGTGAATTAGTGGAAATAAAGCGGAGTCGAGCTCCCGGATGCTGTTACTCTAAATGCTCTCGGCTCGCGGGGGAAAAACAATCGTGGGAAACTGTTTGCGCTCGTTCTCTGCTTGTAAATCAGTAAAAGTGCTAACGATGAAACGGGGAATAACAAGATGCCTCGAATCACGCTGTCGGAATCCAGAAGAAACGTACGCACTCTGGATCACGTGTGACACGGCGCGAGAGATACGGCAAAACGTATTTCTTTTTCTCTTCTACGTATACATATAACGATAACATGTGTCTGTCTTTCTCTGTCGTGCAATCACATATATATATAAAAAACGCGAAGCCCATGTTAAACAAATTCATAATTTCGAACGAACGTGTACCTTTCCCATGGATGCAAATGAATCTTAATCGTGTTTAAGTATCTCGTGATAATGAGTGGCTTGAATGAAAACGATGGAAAAAAAAGAGAAATCTAACGTTTAAAAAGATTTATGCAAGTTTGAGAATGATGTTGAAACATTTTATCAGACGTTCTACTTTGATTTCATCTACTTTTATTCGCTTAATCTTATGTAAGAATAATGCCTAGGAATAATGAATACTATCCAAAGGATAATTTCTATTAAGATTGCAAAGATATTATTAATGGCACCAATTCGGTTCTCTCGAACGCATACGTTTCTTTTGCATTCTGGGTTGTTAGTTTCCATGGATTGTTGCCGCCAGAGAATGGCAAAAATCATCTCATCGCTTCTCCTGGTAAACTTAATCCTTGGATCAACAAATAGCAAATTAAAATCTTGCTAATACTACTCAGGTCAAAACTACGTACACGTGCTGTACATAGTGGAAAAAAAAGAAGATAGAAAAAAAGAAGAAAAACAGAGATTAATATTCTAGAACCGTTTTTTTTTTTAAGACTTTGAATATCTTAACGCACTTATGTATGTTTTCGTGTCGTTTGCGGTAAAAAAGCTAATCTGTTTACACCTGACTTGATCCCACAGGGAAGGGATGCGATTCAGCTACGATTGCTTAGCAAAAAAAATATGAAGCGATCAACGACGGCGACGACACGAGCTGGCAGTTCGTAAGATGGGGGGGGAGGGGGGAGTTCCAACGGAAGAATCCCTGCCTTGTTTTCGTTGCTAATGTTGTTGGATATATTAAATAACAAAATGCGTGCCGTTGAAACTCCGCGATTCGCCGTCTCGCTGTAGGCCGATCTCGATGTCTAATCGAAGTCACGCGATCGCAGCCTCGCCGACGAAGGTCCAGCTTAGTCGTCGTTGACCTCGATCGGGATACTCGTGGTGAAGGTCGGTGTCTCCAGCTCCTCGTGCTTCTTCATCTTCATACTCTGTAAATAACGAGACTCGTTGCAATTATGTCGGCCGAGGACATGGAAAAAGATTTATTGCGCGACGAAATAGAATTGCGTCGTTGCGTGACGCGCAGGCGTGAATTAAAAGGTTTATCGAAGCACAACGCTAATTATTCAGTTGACATCTCGCGAACGCAATTAGAGATCTCGGTCGCGCGTCTCACCTGTTGCAGTTTGTAGTGATTAATGATATCCTGATCGGCCGGGCAGCTCTGTAGGAAAGCGTCGAGCCTGTACATGTGGTGCATGTACCGCCACAGGTGCACCAGAGTCTCCGGTATCTCGAAGTCGGCGAAGTACTTGCCGGCGACCCTGATGTGCTGCAGCCGCGGCATCAGCTCGCAGTCGAAGCAGCACATGGTGTCGCCGGTGAGGAAGCGCGTGCCCTTGCGGCCCAGATGCTCGTCGATCTTACGCAGATGCGCCATCAGCGACGAGGACTTGGGATCCTTGTCCTTGTCCTTCGCGTTCAGCAGCAGCAGCTTGAGCTTCTGCAAAACGGAACGAAACGGACGACAATGTAATTTCTCGCCTCGCCAGAGAAAGGGATATAAATTCGACAGCTCGCGATTTCCCCTCGCGATTGGTTTCACTCTCGACCGGATTGACCGACACTCACGCTGAACAAGTTCTCCACGAGAGTGGCCACTTCCTTATCCTGTACAAACAGATTGTGCCCGCCGGGGATGTTTTTCATGATGTGCCGTTCGATCTTTTCGTTCTCCAGTATCGCGTCACCGTTGTCGATCAGGATGGGCGGCGGCGTGGCCTGGAAGTTGGTGCGGAAGTCGGGCGGCGGTTTCTGCATGTCCACGGTGGTCACCTTCAGGGAGATCGTCTTCAGCTCCGCCAGCAGATACAAATCCATGAAATATTCCTGGCAGAAGAGGCAAGCGCCCTTTCGACGGCCATCGATCGTCGACGCCTAGAAATACGATATTTTCTCCATTAGCATCAAAACAATGCAAACAAAATTTCGCCGAATAGCGAATATATATAAGATATTAATTTAAGATTTAAAAAAATGTACGCGACCTAAAATGTATTTTAAATTACTTTTCATTATTCACAATAAAAGCCGCATTTTTGCGGCTGACGGCGTTAAATGTAAATGTTCTGCGGTATCTCGCGGATTCGATTATCCTGCCTGTATCTCTGGGCGATAAGAGGCTGACGTCAGCCACAGCAACTAGTGCGCGAATCCAAACAACGGCGTGGCGAAGCGCCGCGGATCTTTGTGTTCGATGAGCGATGAGCAGACCCAACCCATTAGTCAAACCCTCGACCGACGTCCCACCACCGTACATTTCGGCTGCTCGATCGGCCGAATCGAGGAGAGTACCGAACCGAACTCGGCAGAGCACGGCGCTCTCGTTTCCCCGATGTCACGGTTTATTTATTCGCTCGTCTCTGACGTCCCAACTCCATTCGCGTTCACGGCCATCCTGAAAAAACCTTACGCAATCGTACCGCGATCAAAATTATCCTCCTTTACTCATTTTCTGCTTCTTTCTGCCACCGCCGGACGGTGTTATTTTCGGCGCAGATCCTGATATTTTCGACGTTTAGAAAACTTCTGCGCGCTTTTATTCACGTCAAACGTCGAGAAATAAATCTTTACGTCATCACCGGGGAATCTCGATTTTTTTCCTTTTAACCCCTGGTGGCTTCAACCATTCAACTTTATTTCCCTCTGGCATTTGTAATCTACAATCGTGCACCTCTCGCGCCTTCGTACTTTTTAACCTTTGACCGTTTCAAGAACTGTTGTATGAAATACCGCATCTAATATCGTATCTAATGGACAATCACGCGAATATCTTTCGTTATGACATTCCCCACCGATCGTTATCCCCCGATACTTTGATCCTTTACCCAACCTGTGGTAGCTTTAAACAACCCACGCATTGTGTAACGTAATCGTTCTCTCCTCGGACAGGCCCGACCACGATCTGTTCGTAATTCGAGCAAATTGAATCTCGGCAGCTCGCCAACTCACTCACTCTTTCTCTCTCTCTCTCTCTCTCTCTCTCTCTCTCCCCTCTCTTGCGCTCTCGGACAACGGCGGTTCTATTTTCATCGGACGCTAACAATCGGCCGCTCTTCCAGGATCTAACGAGCCGGGCTCGTTTAGAGAAGAGGACGTGGTCGCGCGATATCTGCACCACCGTACTACTGTCTTTGTATCGTCGCTACTACTATCGTTTACTATTAGCCAATGTCTTACTTTCCACAGTCCCGTGCGTCACGCGGCAGCCGGCATCTCGCGCGTTTTGTATTCCTTCTTCGGCGATGACGCACAGTCCGTTTTCGGACGTTGCACAACGCCGTTGCACGTGAGAGAGTCAAAAGCTCCATTTGGCGCGCGCGCGTGATTCTCCTAGGTCCAAGATCTCCTGTCAACGAGTGACTCTGATCGTGGATCAGGAAGGCGATAACGATTCTTACAAGTCGCGAATTCTGGATCACCGTAGTTTTTAATGTAAATATACGTGCTTAAAAAAAAAACGCCGCTGCAGAAGTTCAACGAGTATCCTTGAGTGTCAGTAAAAGTGAAATCTCGGAGCGAATCCCAAAGAACATTATCTCTGCAATTACTTAAAAAAAAATTCAAATCGTGATTCTTTCGTTTGTTCTCAGAGGTTTCGCTTTTTTTACGTTATATCGCCACATATCTTTGTACGAGCCTCAAAGACGCGGATCTGTTTCCACACTCCATTCAGCGGTGTTTGATGCCGTCCGATAGCAAGTCTTATTTGCCTTACACGAGTGAAGATTCAAACAGCCACACTCTTGTGGCTAAATGTGAAATATGAATGCGCGTCATGGTAATCCCTCAGGCGTCCATCTGTTAAACATCTTTCGGAGTTGAATACGTTGCTCGCGGCAACGATATCGAAACCACTGTCGACTTAACCGGAAAAAAAAAAAAAAAAAAAACACGGACCGTCATTGCGCAATGTCCGATGCGTCATTACTTCCGGAAGGAATGAAGTAAAATATGACAATTCGGCGGAGGATAGTCAAAGGCGAGCCTCGTTTATTTGATTATCGACGCGAGCTCCGATCTTCCGCGCGGCGGAATTATGGCAGACGAGAATTCCGTGGAGGATATTCAAAGAGTTATGCCCCTCCCGCCTTCTCTCTCTCCCCCTCGATCGCGATGGTGCAAGCCGACTTTGAGGCATGACTCATTTATTCTGAATAAAGCGCGCAATAAGCAGATAACGAGAGACAAATAATTCGCGAGGTGAAGCCGTCTTTACAGGCTTTAACTTGAGCCGCGATTTTCGCGTAATGCCGCGTCAATTATCCTTTTATTAATATATCGATATTTTTTTCCGGAAAAAAAAGATAAAGAATAAGATAATTAATGTTCAGCAGACGCTAACAAAACTGAAGATAAAATCAAGCGAGAGCGCGATAACAGAGCTTGAAGAAGCGTCTCCGAGGCTCCCCGGCGGAAATCTATAGCATTGGTATTCATGTCGAATATACGAGCCGCGCGGAGAACACGGATGGTGGATCAAATGTCACGAAGACACTGAACGTCTTCCATCTTCGAACGCGCGGCTCTATCTCTCACCCGCGGTCGGCGCTCCTCACCTCCTTTCTCTATTACGAAAGCCTGAAAATTCGTACGCGCGAAGTCATGTGCGCATCCCGTCGATATTCCGCGAAACCGCGAAAATCAGCCTCGAAAATCGCGTCGAAACGCAGAGACGGACACGACCGAGGACGCGATGGGACGGGGAAGGCGTCCTTTCGAAGTCGAGCGCGAACGACAAATCGCTCGCCTTCCCGCGGTATTGGCACAGATTTATCGTATCGTTCAGAATTTTAACGACGCGATTTAACTCGCCGTGAGGGAGATACGACGCGCGCGCCTACACACACGCAGGCGAATTCCATTCCTTGAAAAAAAGCCGCGCAAGCGTTTGCCGAACGGCGGCGGATCGGCGAGACCATCACTGGCTCGTTTTGATCGAGTTCAGCATATTTACGGGGCAACGCGGGGGAGGGAGGGAACGGCCGACCATCGACGTGGAATCTCGGTTTAGGCGGGCGAGAGCAGCGAGCGAGAGGCGAAGCGTTTCATTTTTTTTTCTTCTCTTTCGCGTCGATGTCTTGTCACGCAAGCGATTCGCGTTATTGCGGCCTCGCGACAACGCCGCGCGTTACGCGCGGTTCACCGTCGAAGCCGCGGAATCGCTGCCACGGGGGGCAAAAAAACGAACGGAGGGGAAAAGAAATCGAACGGAAAAAGGAAGACCGACGGCTAAGAGCGGTGTATGCATCGCTGGTATCGCTAATGGTAACATCGCGGGCAACCTTGTTTCATGCCTGAAAGAAATTAATGCGTGCCTGTGCGCACTCGTGTCGCTCGCTCGAGAAAATTCTCCGCGCGACAAAAGCTCTTTAGCGAGGAAGCTATCCCGCGAACGGCTTCATGAAATATGGACGAGTCAATGACTCCGAAAGTGACACGATTCCGATCTCTCGGATCGCGAATTTTGATGCGTTAACAATTAAGGATAACAAGTGTACGATTTAATATAGGTATATTAATAATCCACGGCGTGAATTATAGTTGATCCTCATAAAATATTCCTGTTATAATTGTATCTTTTATATTTGTAAACGTAATTATTTGAATTTTTGTAGCTTAGCTCGTCTTAACTGAACGGACGACTTGCATAATACAGTATACAGAGCCCTCCTTTTACAGACATCTCCATCGCATGGCGCATTTGTACAGGACGCAGACGGCATCCCGCTGTACGATATACCGTTACGAGTAGGCAAATATATATACACGTGTACGCACGCGTGCGACTTCTGCGAATATATATGGCGCATGCAGCGAGAGCCATAATTTCACGACGTGCAGGCGTTCGCCAGCCTTCTGCTCGCCATTTTTCCTGAATGAAGCCGACGACAAGTCGTTAGACGGGGAAAAAAAAAGAAAAAGAAAAAAGAAAAAATATCATCGGGACGTCGTTCGCGAAGACGCGCGCGCGTAAGCGGTTATTATTAGCGGGACGACGTCTTGCAGTCGCGTGAACATCGAGTATGTATCCTTCGATCTTGCATCGCGCGAAGGACGATTTCCTCCTCCTGCGGTCTAACAAATTCCTTTTCGCGCGCGACTCTTCTTTTTTTTAATGCCTCATTTGCGCGACGATGTTTTCTGTTCGTTCGGAACGATCGCGTACGAAATCTTCGAGTGTCTCTGACTTCCACCCGGACACGCTTGTAATGACCTTAGAGGAGATTAAAGTGCGATCGATCGCCACGCTCGCAGGTGGTTACGCGACTATTCTTTCGCTCAATGTAACTGCGACTGGGAAAAATAACTCTGACGGGACGTCAGTAAAGAAGATACTCGTGACATGTTATATGTAAATGTGACAAACAAGTCCGAAGAAAAAGAGTGCAAGCGCAAGACATTGAAGATCTTTTTTACTTAAAAACAATATCTTTTTTACTGTACTTTGTTTTCCGTCTAGTTAAAAAAAAAAAAATATTACACTCTATCTTATAATTTGTCAAGCTCATTTTCCACCGATTCTTCATTTGCCTCGTATAAAAAAAATATTTCTCCTTTTTTTTCGGAGTAAAGCAAGTTCGCAGGAATTTTTCTCTTTCACAATCCTCTAGTTTTAACAAATCGACGAGCGTATTTCTCGAATCATCGAGGAAATATAATAGAGAAGATCCGGGGAACGAAGTTGCATCGAAGTCGGCGGGGAAAGCCGCCGGAGGAGCGAGGAAAGCGGAAGGCAAAGGAGTCCATCGTTTAACGGTAGAATCTCGCGGAGGACCTCGTGGTAGCCGCTCCGTCGCTTCGTCCCGTTTGACACACTTACCCGAGAGAGAACTTCGTATGATCGCACCTCCCGAGAGTGCAAGGTCGGCCAGTTTACCATTAAATCTTCCCGCGCGAACGCGCGCGACTTCGACGATCGGCGAATTACGCCCCCCCGGCTCCCCCCCCCCCCGGTACATACATCGTCTCCGGTCGTTCTTCGATTTGCAACAACGGTACAGCCGACCCGGCGCGGCACGCCGGCTTAGAGTTTCTGACCTCGTTAATCGAATAAATTAAAACGGTCGCCGTTTTTAATATGCGCCACGTCTATACAGTATTTCGTATTGCGAGGGAAAAGTAGAGAGAGAAAGAGCACGGTGCGCAAAGCTCAACTTGATTTGAATATTCACGCCCGCATTTCATAATACGCACGATTTGATTCGATTTGAAATTCGCCTTTCGAATCGAATCGCGGCGAGGCATGCGCTATCGCGGAGACTTCGAGGAAGTCGCGACGTTCTCCGAGCTCGATAGTAGCACGCGCCTCAATGGACTAGATACAGACATTTTATTATAATTAGCTGTACGTGTCAACACGAGAAACGTTTTCTCGCCGACGGAAGACGTCCCGGTGAGATCACGGTTTTTCCGTGACGACACAACCTTATCGCGATTTTTTTTCCTCCGCGTATCAAGATCGATATGAATTCACGATTGAGCCTTTATGTTTTTATCGTGTTTATTTCGTGAGATGCACAGGCTGAAGAGCACATACTTGCGCGGTGCAGCACTTCGCCGGCTACCTGAATATTTATCTAACGCTGCAATCGAGATGATAAGCCAGTTATCTGAGAGAGGGAACAACTCGCTGCCGCGTAGAATTCTCGTTGGCACACTTAAGGACAGGTTGCACCGATATGGCGACCGTCTCACCTTTGACAATAGGAATGAGCAGAGACCAGAGAGCGAACGCTTTCGACGAAATCAAACCGAATCGTACCGTCGTGATGCAATTTTCCTTTTTTTTACGCGCTTTCCTTATATACATATTTGTATAAAAAAATACTAACTTATAAATATTAAAGTTTTAGGACCGACAATTGATTCGTCAAATACCGATTCGATATTAAACGCTCCATATCGTTATAACACTGTGCTTCAAATAGCTTACAATTAATAATAAGTACTATAATGTACAGTTAATAGTAACAAAAAATAATAATTTAATTATGATTTAATTATTAATAATTTATATGTACGTAATATATATATGTAAAAAATATACACGGAAAGAACAATTTTGCTGGAAGGTCTAAAAATTTTACTGAATGCAGATCTGAAAATAATTTTGTTGGAAATTCGAACTGGTTAGAATGTGCAAAATGTTTTACAGCAATGCTCATCATTTTTTAATTTCCAACAAAATTACTTTTAGATCTATAGCCAGCCAAAATTTTTAGACCTTCCATTAAAATCGTTCTTTCTGTGAATGTAAATTATTCTTGTGACACAACATCGTCGACCCCATGCAGGAGAAAATTTCAGAATTCCGCGATTTCGATTCCGAGACGCTTCGTTCCTTTCACGAGTCGTCTAATTCAACGATTTAGATACGTTTGAGATCGTTATACAGTGTACACGTTATTTCTCTCGGAAGAAATCCGACCGTCGGCGAAAGTTCAATCGCAAGCTCTTTAATGGTCATTCGAAGGTAGTCTGTTTCCAGTTAAAAAGTCGTTCTCCCCTGGAAACTCAGTGAAAAGAAAGTTCCGAGAAGTTCGCGTTGAGTTTACCCTCGATCGAATCGCATCGATCGCGAATAACAACGATCGCGAACAGCTCTGACCGCTGTCTAATCACTCTAATCTAATCGGAAACGAAAACGTAATACGATAATATATTGATAATATATATCTTAATATATCGAAATCATAATAAATATGACGATATAGATATCGCAAAATTATGATATCATGTAAGATCAACGATCTTATATCCTGTTTACACCATATTTTTCTTTCCAAGAATACATCGTGGATCGAATCGTTGTGCGTATTAATACTTATTAATATACACTTTGCCGTTGACTCATCTACTATTTCTTCATTTGGAAGAAAACGAAAAAAGAGGCTCGAGAGTGCGGCTTGTGGAACTGCAAATTACTTTGATCTGAAGCATCGTCGAAATATTCTACTTTCAAAATTAGCTCTATCAGCTGTATCTGACACGTTCGTAACGCGCGAGACGCGAATTCGGAACACGCTTTCAATACGCCTCCTAAAAAGGAAGCGCGGAGTCCCTTGGAGAAACTCCACCACGTTTCTCCGACGGCCGCTAATCGCGCGATAAAGTGATCTGGTCTCGAGATTCTAATACGCCGCCACGTGAATTATTTCGCGATAAGATAGGAATGCGAGCCAGCGGCGACGGACGCGGAGTTTGTACCGCGGCGTACAAGATCGTTCGATCGATCGTCGTTCCTATATAGATCCGATATCGCGATCCCGCGGCGGGTGCTCGAAATCCCGAGGCGGGCCCCGGCGGAAAAACCTGAACCAGTTCGCGCGCCGGCCTTTCATTTTCCCGTCCACTTCCATCAGTGGTCGCGGAGCCGCGCCGCTCGCGCGCGCGGGACAACTTTATTTTTTTTTTCCGCCCGGTAGCTTTTCCCATCGGAAAGCAAAACGAGAGACGGGAAAACGACGACAGCGGGCGGCTTTTCGTCGTGTCCCATCTGCCGCGCGTAACGCCCGCAGAATGCACAAACGTGCGGCGGCGGCGGGCGGAGGGAGAAGGAGAGCGTGCGGCGCCCTCGATGACTCCATGCGTAAAGAAATGTGTGGCATACGCATAGCGCGTCGCGCCGCGCCGCGCTTCTGTCTCGCGGTATGCCGAGCGTTTGATGTCCCGGGGGAGGAGGGGGTTCTTAGGATGCGACGCGGCGTAGGAGGCCCCGAAACGCGCTCTTTTCAGATCCCGTCTACGTAAATGTCGCTCCGCGTCGACCGGCGTGATCTCGGGACGTGTATCGCGTGCGCGCGTGACGGGAATCTCCATTCCGCGACGGAATGGAGACGGGAAGCGGGGGCTCCTGGGTCGGCGCCTGGTCTCCGCAGCGTCCGAGATCTCGGGCGACCGGTAAACCGGTCTCGACCCCTTTGATGTAACGCGAGCCGAAAAGCTCCGTGTGACACACGTGTGCGGCCACCGCGGTGGTGAGTCCTCCTCGTCGGGAGGAGTTTCTTCACCCGCCGTCGTATCGGCCGAGCAACGGCGGCGTACATACATACACATACATGCATGCATGCATGCATGCATGCATGCACGCACGTACTCTCCGCGTGCACCGCGTCCGTTGGCTCGCCCGTTTCACGGCTCCGGTCCCTGGCGATCACGCGTCGACGAACGCGACGAGGGGAGCCTCGCTCGGATAACAGAAACCGACCCAGGGCCTCGCTCGCGACGAACTCGCTACGCGAGAGCCCGGCGTCGAAATCGCAGGCGAACGTGACGCGAGGTAAAAACAAAAGTCACCCGGGGAGAAAGAGGGAGAGAAAGCGAGAAAGAAGGAGAGAGAGAGACGAACGAGAAACGGTCAACGGTCACGGCGCGGATAATTTCCGCGCGACGAACAGTCGATTTTCACGGTCGCGGGGAAAGAAGGGCAGGGCAGGGACCGCGGTCTCGCGGTTTCCCGCAGGAGCGAACGGGAACCAGTTGGCTGTTCCACGCCCATAGCGCGCACGGGACAACCGCCTCCTTTTTCCTTCGTCTTCGTCTCCCTCTCTCCCATCCCCTGTGTGCCGCATCTGTGTCCGTCTCGCTCGCACGGCGATCCCTCGACGACCGCCGCGCATGGCACACTCACCTTTATGATCAGCTCGATCTCGGGGACGTCGCCGTTGCTGGTGCCGTTCTCGTGATTGTCGTCCGCCATCCTGACGGGGCTCTCCGTGACGCGGCGAAGAAGGAAGAAGAAGGCACTTTTGTGTCCTGTGGCGTTTCTCGGCGACTACTTCTATCTCTTTCTCTCTCCCTCTCTCTGTCTCTGCCGTGACTCGACGCGCTCGACCGGACGAGACCAAAGAACGAACAGGACACGATGGAAGTCCGCGAAATACTGACGCAGCGCGTGCCGCGCCACGTTCACGCCGCTAGCGCCGCCTGCGGCGCACCCGCCGAATCACGTGACGCTCTGTCGCGCGCGCGTGAGAACGCGCTTAATTTGAGAGAGGTTTGTCGTGTACCATAGACATATAAGATATGATAGATCTAGATTCTAGATATATAGATATATATCTATATATATATAGATCTTATTTGTCTATGACGTGTACGCGTCAATATGACACTTGTGAATTAAGCTTTTACAAAACATTAATAGTGTAAATGATATACGAAAATTAGGGCATCTTTCGGGTGCTCTTGGAATCCATTCCGGGCTTTGCGATGTTTGTAAAATTACTATGCGATAGATTTTTACAATTTCAGTGATAGCAGCTCGATGCATTCAATATTTAATGTTATAGTATAAAAATATAGTCTTATTAAATACATTTGTCGCGCTAAAATATTGTGCGCAACTTTTAAATATCTCTTATATAAGCATACATTACATATTTTTTTAAATTTGCTTTTCTTTATCAGGCGCGCATGTAAACGACAATAATTTCTTCAACGACTCGCTATTTCGAGGTTCTCCGTAACATTTCGCGATCTTCAAAGTAACTTGCGGAGGCGATTCTACTGTTGAGATTTCCTATATATAATAAATCAGTATATTATTTGTATTTATTGTTTGCACAACAGAAAACATTTTGTGCATTTACACCTCTCGCAATTCTTCCGAAAAATTTACATTTTCTTCGGTGACTGAATAGAGATGCGGTTCTCGAAGAGCGTAGCACGTACTTTCTTCCATTACGCTTTCTTTACAAACGTATCATTTTCATATATTTAATTAACGTTCGCGATTTTTAATTCGCGTTGTAATATTTCCTTACCGTTATTAACTGTACCTCGATACAACGTGACATTGCTGACCAAAATTATATAGAAAATAAGGAAAGCTGATTTCAGGAGTGCCATCATTTCCAATTTCAAAGCAAAGGTGAAAGTGAAATTGGAAGGAAATTGGACAGTCGAAGATGAATTAATTTTTAAAAAGTTTGGGAGTGTGACATCAGCTGTTTTGTTTATGACATTTCAGTCGTGAAAGTATCGGGGGTAGCGTTACGACGAAACGTATTGCACTTCAGATTGCTTCGAGATTTAATGCGCAGAGTACAAGGAAGACGCATGGGATGTTCAATATTTTTTCAGTTGTAATAATCATATGCTATATTCTTAACTATGATTCTTAAACAATATAGCAACAATAATATTTCATATGTACATAATTACTAATCCTCTTTATATAGCGGTAAACGTGAGCTCGTTTAAACGCCTTACGTTTGGTCGGTTCGCAGAGATTATCGTAAACTCTACAGCCAGAAAGTTCTCTCATGCTCTCCTTACAATTAAACTTTTCTTTTTTCCTTTCGCTTATGTTTGCGCATTAAAAGAGAAGTGAAGGTATGTACGAGACAGACCAAAGAAAGAGGATATGCTGAGTGTATGAGTTCAATCGACAGACTATGAAAGCTATGCGTTCGTTATTATTAGTGTCATCTCTAAACGCTACAACGGTTAGTGCTCCGTTTTTTTTTCTTTCTTTCATCTACTAGCTCATTTTCCAACAGACGCGATTGAACGACGCGACGAGTTTAAATTGACCTAGGCCGAGTGTAATATACATATATATTATCAACTCTTCTTAGCTTTAGAATATAAGAAATTGCTCGGCCGTTATCAATTCTCCGATTCGATGTGACTATCGGGATTACAACATTCATTAATTCTTTTTCAACATCTCGTTAAAAAATATGAAAGACGCAAACATACCGTCGTCGATATGAGATTCGCGATAAGATCTTTTATATATATGTAATTATACATATATATAAAACAAATTCTCGTCTAAATAATTATGTTATCTCGATTAGAATAATATCTCATTCCACTCTAACGGTCGACTTGAGATCTCATCTCACTGACTCATCATTAATAACGACATTTACGCGATTTTCGATGCGTTGTCGGATTGGACCCCAGCGTTGTAAAGCGGCGAATAGAATAGCGTAGATTACCAGAGAGTGTAGAAGGATACACGCTTATAGAATTATTTCACATATGTGTACCATAAATATCGAACATGATCATAAATATACGAGTAGGATAATAGCAATAATTGACTAATTTTGGTTTTAAACGGACATAACCCCTAATTGCTTTATCCGTTAATTGGTATTTCGTACTCTGCATTCTAAGAGCACTAATAAAAGTTTCCGTTCGAACGCTTCGTAGCTTCCGATTGGCGAGCCTAATTTCGCAGCGGGTCCAAGCTCTCCAAAGAAAAGTCATCAGTTCCGATGCACAGCCCTCTACTAAAGCCATCCTGAAAATTTTTCGTCGATTGTAAATATTGCAATCTGTCTACAACAGAAGCAATTAAGAGTGAAGACTGCATGCTTTACCTTCATTTCCAGCAGCTTCTTGTCCAGCAGACCGATAGCGTTTTCCAATTCTTGCTGGCTAGGATTGGATGTCATGGTCGAAGCTCCGAATGCTCCCATTTCAAATGGATCATTAAATTCATTCTTCATATTTAAAGTCGGCGTAGGATTGAAAGGAATGCTACCAAATAAATCTTCCTTGATTCCGTTTTGACGTCTCGAGTCTTTCGTCTTTGGTGGTGGTGCCACTGGATAGAAGATACAATATTCTCAAATAATGTCAGTATAATGTAAGTTAATTCATATCCATAAATTGTAATAAGTGACTACTTACGCAGGGGCGGGGGACTGATTGTGCCGTTAGATTGCGAGAAGAAGTTCGAGCCCGAAGATATCTGACCGTTAAGGAGCGGATTGTTATTTAACTGATGATTGGCAAGACCGTTGGCTGCGGTCTCGTAAGCTCTTGGGTTGAAATCTTCCTCAAACTCATCCATCAACAGCCCTTCCAATTTGGTGCCAACCGACGGCATTGGCGCTGGCTCATTCCTTAAAAAATAAAAATAAAAATAAAAATAATATGAAATCAAGAAAATAGAGATTAGAGAGTGAAATTTACAATCACGTTGATCATACCCCATGAAATCATCGTCGAAACTCTTCTCGAAACTCCTCGGCGGAACTGGCGGCGGTTGCTGAGGTCCATTAGACGTATTTCCGTTGCTGTCACTCACATTTAGCAATGGCTTGCTAGTGGTACCATTAACTTGTGGTGATTCCGCGGGAGCTCCAGGTACGTGAAGAATATCGGGTATATTATGCTGTGATAGATATGCCGACACATCCGCCTAAATGAAAATAAAAAAAAACATAGCATAGAATTATTAAAACAATTATCGAAAACAATTACATATTATAAAATTTAAGTATCTTATATAAGATACTTTTCTTTCGAACTAACCGAGCCTTTAATAGCCGCGACATCTTGCAATCGTTGCCGATAAACGTTGTTCTCGTGTTCGAGCCGTTTTATCTTTTGCTGCAGCACCATGCAACGTCGTTGCGTCTCTAGATCCTTGCCGGATGTTTCCAGGAACCTCCTGTACGCCAGATCGAAGGCTTGACCGATGGTCAGTGTGATCTCCTCGGCCAATTTATCGCTGACGAAAACGAAGCACGTATGCCTCTCCGCGTCCTCCTCCTTCGCGATAAAACTGAAGAACTTCTTCTCGCCTTTGTCGTCGGCGCAGTACGAGATTCTATGTAACGGATACTGATGCATAATTCGCTGCAAGAATAACCTTCGGTCAAAGACGACGGCGAGGTAATTGAGCCTTGGATGCGCCAATACGGAAGGCAATTATTTAGCGCAAAAGTTATCTTCACGAAATGACACTAACCTTGGGTGTCGTTTTCGTTTTTGGTTCCTGTATCGCCACGCCATCGATACTTATGGTGAGCTCGACCTTCGGGGTTTTCGTGCCTTCGCTCTTCTTGAGCTGCTGATTGAATTTCAGTTTGCAGATCGCCTCCTTAACGACCTCGATGCCTTTGGGTTGGTCCACTTCTGTGCTGCCCAAATACTAAAATATTAAATCATAGGCAGATGACGACAAAAAAGTTAATCAGGTATCCTTCCGTGCGTAACGTGTTACAACAGAAAGGAAAAAAGGAACGACGCGGCGTGGGAAACGACGCGCTGTGACGCTTCTGAGAAAAATGCACACTAAAAACGCAATAAGAGTGTATTTCTTTATTGAAGGAGGATTTTTCTTTAGCGCATTCCTCCGCAGTCTGCATATTTTTGCATTATAATCATTATAAATCTCCCGCACACATCTGTAAATTAGCAGCGCACGGCATCTCTCGTCAAGGTAATATTTCCGAGAGAAAAGTTGTCTAACTACTTACAGACGATGGCTGTATAAATCGTTGTAAACACTTTAACGCGACCAAAACAACTTCAGAGTTCCGGACACATCTTAAAAAAAAATTTATTTATCAAGCGGAAAGAACGCGGCGCACGAATTGCAGGAAGAGAAATCGATAAAAATGAAAATTGATCACGATTTTTGTCGCAGCGCGTAGAAAGCGAAAAAAGAAATTGGCAGGGGGGAGAAATTAATCGATAATTAGCTGGAACTGCAGCTTGCAGCCGTCGGTCGCATTTCGCAAATCGAACAAAAGAAACGAAGCATTTCGCAATGACGTTTGAAAATAAGACGCACATCTAACGGCAATTACGCCGCATTCCTTCTACTCGATAAAATATTTCTGCACTTTAATCTTGCACGAACAACGCGATAAACGTAACACTGACAAATTGCGTGATATTATCGCGCCACGATGACGTTTCGCTGCGTAGTTTAATGATCTCTGAACACTTTTACAATCAAATTAAGCCGTAATTCGTCTTGAATGACGGTACTGTATCCGATCGCTTACGTAAATCGGAGTTTCATCGCGCTTTAATTGCATCATATTTCCATCTTATTTCTAATTTACATGCAATAAAATGAGAATAGATAATTGTAACAAAAATATCCAAAAGCTAATCTTTTAACTCTCTTTCGAAATTACAAAATATTAAAAAAAATTCAATATTAATTATCTCTATTAAATTTTTCAAAAATTATTCTAAATTAAAGAAGAAAGATTTATGCCTCTTTTCTCTCAGCATAATGGGAAATTAAATCGATCCTGCAGTCGATTAGTAAGATATATTAACATGCAGAGAAACTTCTCTTTAGCGCTTATGTATCTCTCGAAAAAAAAAAAAAAATACAGAGAGAGTTGGATTGTGGAAACCTAATCCGGTCAGAGAAAAAGGCATGTCCGGACATGCCAATTCCGCTGTTTCGTGTTCAGTGGTGACGACACGACACTCGCGCGTTTCGTTCGTGAGATAGTGAAATCTGGCCGCTCGCGAAGTTTCGAAGTTCAACGAACTCGCGGCGACGCGCCGCGCCGGTTGGGTCTCGGAGTCTCGAACAACAATTCATCCACGATATGCCGGTATTCGTATTCACGGGGAAACTTACGTACGTGCCGGTAACAATTCGAAACGAAAGGCAGACGGAGTTGCGAGTCGCGCAACCTTTTCCGGGTAACGCGAAATGAATGAACCAGCTTCGAGAGGAACTCTTTTTCTATTTCTGTGCAAGTCATCCAGAAATAATGAGATTCCACAACTGACTAGAAAGTGTAAATCGCGAGTCACTTTCGGTTTTTACACGGTTATTTCCACGTCACTTTTAAATGGCCGGACATTAAGTTCCTCCCGTCGCTCGATTCAACTTGAGCATCTTTTTATGAGCTATTTTTATGAGCGTCTCTTTCACCTTCCCAGACTTCTTTCTGTCATTATAGGAAATATAAAAATTTTGGCTAATTAATTATCATACAAATTTATATTTCGATGAAATCTTTCTGCTCAATTTTGTTTCAGAGAAATATATACATACATATATATATATATTTTATCTACTATAGAATATTGAAATTTAGTAAATTTAAAAATATTTTTTTCTATAAAGAATGGAAGAATAAATAATATTGAATAATTCTCTCAACCAACTGCTTCCATTTTCATTAACCTTCCGCTAGCTGTTGCTCAACAGTTGCCAGTAATTTCTCCGGCTTTCCTCAGGCACCGTGCAGGCACGATGCCTCGGCGTTCCGCCCAGCGAAATAATCAACTTAGCTTAATTACGCTCGTTAGCAGCGAAAGGTAATTAGGCGACGCATGTCGACAAATTCCACGAAAGCGTAATGGATAACCTGCTCGGCGGGTTCATGGGCTCGATGAGCTACCGGAGATGAAATTAAAAGCGGAAAGAAAAACGAGGATCGACGATACGCGACGACCTCGACCTTTTATTCCGTCAGTTTCGCGATACTGAGAAACGGTACCAGGATGGTACTTGTCGCTTCGTTGTTGTTAATCCCGCGGTTTCGTAATCGCGTGCTGCGACCTTGGTTGACGTATACACTAGTGTCGATAATCAAGAATACTCCCAACATCCCGTTGGAAAAATCAAGCAATCTTAATAAATAATTATTTTTAAAGAGTTTCATTGCTTTATAAAAATTATCATGACGTTACTTCTAATCATGTGGCACTTTCGAAATTTCAGCGCAAGTCGTGACTCGCATCAAAAGCAATCGTTGCGGAAAAAAAATTCAGGATATATAAATAATATCTCCGTGAGACAACTTATTCTAACACGGAGAAATCCTTCCAATATAGAAATCGTACAATACCTTGACTAGGTAGGCGATGTGTCCTTTTTGGAGTGCGTCCGGTGGGTGTATCCAGTTCCTACTCGTTCCTGCGAACAGGAGAGTCGCGATGGTTTTCAACCTTCGCCAAAGCAGCGGCGAGCCATATTTGCTAATATACTAACAGTCGCGATACACGTGCCGTGGAAAGAGCCAGGTTACTCACCTCCATTTTTGCTCGGCTGATTTTTATTGTTCGCCGAATTCTGCGCCCATTTCAGCAACGTCGAATTCCTCATGTTGTCGGGCTCTGGCTACAACCGACTCTCAGACCCCTCTGTAACACAAATATCGACAAATCGTCGAATTAGCGTATATATCAGAAAACTAGTTTTCAATTATACACAAATAGCGCGTATAACGCTCATATCATTTCTAAACGTAAGATAGCTTAGCTATATCTACACAAGTTAAACCTTCTCACATCGGTGATTTCAGTTAAAATACACCTAAAATTTATAAATAAAAAAATTGAAATTTTCCAGTTTACGGCAATTAACTTCTCTTTCGACTCCGAAAAATATGATTCTCACATAAATATTATTTGAAACGTATATACAAATACTATTCTTTCGCTGCTCGTGATAGTGCAAGCGAAAGGTACACATATATAGATCGGCTGCTTATGAATGCGAAAGATTTAAAGGGGCCGCTGGTCAAACGTCAAAAGCCAACGCCAGCTGTAATTTTTCCTTTCTCTCGACATTCTATGAGGTGGACGTGAGTTTTGGACTCTATCCAGGTTGCCATTCTCTTCCTATTTCCACAATCTCTTGCGCGCCGCCCTCGCTTTGATCTGTGTCACGAAAATAATTTTCTATCCGCGCACTTAAAAAGTGCTCCTCGCGATGCAGAAGCTATCACGCGTGTATCGCCACGGTCAACGACGGTTCATGAGCGGTCTCGTTATGTTGCAAAAGAGAGCAGAAACATATCGAGCTGTGTCGCTCCGATGCAAATTTGTAATGTACAGTTGTTATGGATATAAATTTTAAAAATCAATTCTTATCCTGTAGTTTCGATACGCATCATTAATTCGTAATTCGTGTTCTACATATAAAATCGTCTATATATTGAAATATGGAATATATTAAATGTAAAAGACTCTAATGTTATTTCATTACATTTTATACTAATTTTAACAATTTATAATAATATTTTTTGTAACAATTATAATTACGTTACACAGCGTTATTATTATGTCAGACAATTATAATCGCATTGATATGAATTACAGATCTAGATTGACGCGGCCCTGAGGGAGAATGCAATGAGAGCGTGCATTCTGTCCTCTCCTTGCTCTTTCATTGGAAACGATTGCAGCCGCGAAATCTTTGTTCGACGTCTCCCGTCATTTCCCTCCCCGTCCTCCCCACCCGCGCGAGAGAGATCCAGTTCTCTTTTTATTATTCCTATTCGAGGAACGCGACTGAATCTTTCGACGTTACGAAGCCTGTGTACAATATATATTCACAGAAAATCAGGTCAATTACATGCGTATTAACTTATGCACATGCACACATTAAGTTTTCTCTCACGCTCGGAGTGCCTGTCCGTCTATCGTTTCTGCGTGTCTGCCCCATCGTGTCGTTTTTTTTTCTTTCTTTCTCGAGGGAGATACCAATCATTATGATAATTTAAAACCAAATGAAGGATCTCGTTAGGTCTATTGTTTTCTCGTAGGTGCTGCGAACGCCGTGTGAAGTCCACTTAAAGCACGGACGACGATTGTTTGCGGTGTACCAGCGGTCAGCCTTGAAGACGAAGGCTAGATCCTTTCGCGTTTCATCATCCCGCGCATGACACCGTCTCAGACTTTGAGACATTGAGTATCCAATTGGATCAAGTATGCGCACGCAGGGATAAAATGCGATCGGCACGTTGCGCCGCGGCACATTTCGTTACGCGCTACATCTATCTCTAACTGATCCTATACTTTTGTGTGTTCCGCTCTCGCATAATAAAGCGCTGATACGGATTATCTGAATACTATTCCTATAGTCATGCGCGACAATTAAACTTGTGACGCACATCAATATCTGTCTTGACTCAATCGCGAGTGAAATATTTTTGCGTTAATTTCAGTTACAGCACATGAAATCTGAAAAGAAAATTTAGCCAATTGTGGAACAAGAAAACACATGAACGCCGTTGACGTTTTATTTAATTAAGCTAATTATATGTCAACGCGAGAGGAGTTTTTTAAACTTTATTCAGGCGACTTCAGAAATACACTTACTGCCTGCGGAAATATTTGAATATCTTTTCGCGCACAGTCGCGAATTTGAGTGCGTAATGTCGCGGTATGTAGGCGTGTTTGCGCGAGATTAAACGGCTTATCTACATACACCTTCCTCTCTGACAAAGGAGGAATGCGGCCACGCGAGAATGCATGTCCATCCGGAATTCCGATACCACGTATCGTTGCACGCTTCGAAATCGCTGTGAAGCGTGTCTCGGAATAGAATTTTTCGCTCGCGCGAATGGGAACGTCTGACGTTCGCAGTTAATTCGGCAATGAGCGCAATCACGAGTGAGCGGCCGAGACTGGAATCTTTCCGCTCGATACGCCCGAGCGAGAAAGTCCTGCAAGAGCTCGCCGAGACGTTCTCGGATATGTCTGTTAAGCTGGCGCAGCCACTCTAAGCACGAATAGGATAGACGAGAATTTAGCTATTTGCTTTTTTTTACAGTTTCTTACTTTACGCTCAATTTTGTTGCGCCGGCCATTTAAAGACGGTGGCTGTGTGCTAGATTAAATTTAACGCAATCATATAAAAAAGATTATTTTGTAAGAAATAAAAAGAAAGCAGTAGAAAAAAATACTTATATGAGTTAATACAATACAAATCACTAGACTTCTTACATCATCAATTAATATTAAGATATGTAAAAAATAATTTATAAATTATAATAATTTATAAATTCATGAATGTACTCATGAATGTGAAATTATCAGATTATAATATCTGATTAACAATATCTGTTTTGAATCAAAAAATTACAAACTGCATGAGATAGAAATCATATTGAATTAATAAAATGAAAGTAACAAGAATTTCTTACAATATCTATTAATACTATTACACTGCGGGAATATTGCAATAAATAAATAACGAGGATTTTATCACGATACATAATCTCAAACATCTCTGACAGCTGAGCATCAACCGACGATGATGTCGTTCGTGTGGTATTGATGTCGCACTCGACAATTAACATGCATTCAAGGATAATCAAATTTTTAAACCGGAGTATTGAGATCGTCCTGACGGAAAGTCCCCGAAGAGGTCGATGTCGCGCGCGAGTCGTCGCGGTCAATTCGGAAATGGGCGCAATCGCTTTTGTACGCTCGAAGTGGACGACGACCGGTGTCCCGCGAGCATGCCATTTGAGAGGCGTTTAAGCGCTGAAAGGTGGAGGCTCGGATTTAATACACGACTTCCTATTCCTCCCACGTAGGCGCAAAGAGGTCGAGCGCCAAAGCCGAAGCGCGTTGTGCCCGGCCGTTGCCGCGCCGCGCTGTGCGAACCTATCACGGCGCGGATCTGTGCCGCTCTCTTTCTTAGCCGTGCGATACATCAAACTGTCCGCCCTCGGGGGTTCCTTCCTCTCCTCGCGTGTTTTCGCAGTCGCCGGGTGCGTCGCGATTACGATTCTCGACACGGGCGATAGTGGTTATGAAACAATTAAGCCAGCATTCTTTCCGCCGATTATAAAATCCAACGAGTAAAAATAGTAATCGCGAGTCCTTGATCATTAAACGTACATTCGTGATAACAGCTGTGTGTTGTACGTTTCCAATTATAAGATTACATTGTGAAAAGAAAAATTAACAATATTAATTATTCGCCAAAAAAATACTTAATATTAACATCAGAATATTAATAAGATAATGAATAGTGTGCCAAAGTGACAGAAAAATATTTCATATAGCGTGTAACAAATGAGCTTCCAAGCACTCTATATTTACAACACGGATCAAAAGCAAAATGTATGTTCGATGATTATAGAAACGTCAGCCAACGTACTTATATGTTACGCTAATAATAAGACAGCACGTGTACATGTTACACGTGTCTATTCTAACAAATACTTCCGATATATATACCTAATACGTATAATATAAGCGATCGTTTTCCCTCCTTCTTCCAGATTTCCTGTACCGCTATATTTTCCTATACGTATTTTTTTTTTGTTTCATCAACGTTACAACGTTGAATTATCCCTGTAATTGACACGATCGCCGAGTTCCTTGCAGCGTCGCAAGCGCTTCAAGTTCCCCTGTGGGAACCGTGAAAGTTGCCTGATTATTATCATATTTGCGGAGCTTTCATAACGCGGAGATGTACCGTTAAGATTTAGCTCGCAGCAGGAAAAGTTGCTCCTTACAATTTATTACGCGAAAGCGAACTCGGCTGCGTTTACTAAATGCATAAGCCTCGACGTTGTGTGACGCGCGTGTTACCCGCGTGGCGTTGCGTACATACTATAACCCGTCCGAGATGGGGCCCGATTCTAGAGAGGCCATCGAAGAAAGTAGAACCCTCAACGCCGCGCCGCGCCGTCATGCATGACCGCGCATAGGCGCGATAGCAGCTCCTACACGAAGGCAAGATCGCACACGAGAGGCATGTCTCGCGGGGCACCTACATCCGCCGCGCGGATAGATTATCCGTGACGTTTCGCGATAAGAAGGATGGAAAGTATCGGTTTTTGCGCCGAGCCGTGGTACCGGCGTGCCACAATTAGGCAATAATCGAGAACGGCGGTTTAGTCGCGTTTCCTCGACACGTAATTATCTATTAATAGCGAGACGAGTGAGTTGCAGGCTCGTGTATATACACACGTAGACGAATAATTTTTTTATTTCTCTTCTCTCCGATCGATCTCGCCAATCGATCTCGTAAATAAACTATTTATAGGTTCAAAAGGGAAATATATAATTCCACGGTCGTTCTACCCGGAAGCGTTCGACGTTTAATTATTCGTCGAAATGGGGGGGGGGGGGAGCAGGGGAGAGGCAGGACCAACAAAAGATATCACGGACTACCATGTGTCACGCGCGTTACTACATTTCATATGCGTGACACGCGCAGCAACGAGGCAAATAGATAGCGGTCCTTTCACGAACCGTAGGGAGCGACGTTCGCATGGGCGCATCGAGAGCGCATCGAAATTCCTCGCGTCGGGAACGCGAACGCGAACGCGAGGCGATCGTGTCTTGACGTACGAATGAAAGGATCCTCTATCCGACGCCACTCGCCGGAAACACAA